CTTAATAAGTTGCAAAACTGGGAGAGCTTATTGCCGAAAATCTTTGCCCTTCTTGAAGATGCAGAAGAAAAGCAGATGTCTAATTCCAGCGAGTTGATAAAAATATGGCTCGCTGAAATTAGGGACTTGGCTTATGATATGGAGGACATCTTAGATGAATTTCAAGTTGAATCTCTGAGAAGCAGTTTGAATATTACAAAACCTCACCAAGCCAGCAGTAGCAAACTCATCCCCTCATGCTTCAACTGTTTCAAACAGAATGATTTGTTGATCTCTAATTCCCAGACCATTTCTAAGGTGAATGACATTACCCTTAGATTGGAACGTCTGGTAAATGAATCCAACACACTAGGCTTAATAATGCAAGCTGGAGATAAGCCTAGTGGAATGGCTACAGGAAGGTCACCCACTACTTCTCTACTTGAACTTTATGTTTGCGGTCGAAAAACTGAAAAAGCAGCTATTCTTCACAAGTTGCTCAATAATGAAGGTGGTTCCAAAGGATTTAGTGTTATTCCCATCCTTGGAATGGGAGGCATTGGGAAGACCACTTTAGCTCGACTTGTTTACAATGAGGTGACAACACCAGAAAACTTTGAGCTTAAATCCTGGGTTTGTGTCTCTGATCAGTTTGATGTTACAAGCATAACAAAAGCCATTCTAGAAGCAGTTGGGGGAAATTGTGTTTCGAATAATTTAGATTTGCTTCAACAAGAATTGAATAGCAAGTTATCTAACAAGAAGTTTCTGCTTGTATTGGATGACATTTGGAATGAGAAACCCTCATTGTGGGACGATCTACAAAAGCCATTCTTATCAGGAGCAGTTGGAAGTAAAATAATCATCACAACTCGCAATAAGCGTGTTGTAGAAATTATAGGAGGGTTGGATAGAGTTTGTCGTCTAGAAGTATTGAAGGATGAAGAGTGCTTGTTAGTGTTTGCTCAACATGCATTGGGAACAGACAATTTTGATGCACACCCAAATTTGAAAGAAATTGGTGAGAAAATTGTTAAAAGGTGCAAAGGATTGCCATTGGCTGCAAAAACCCTCGGGGGCCTTCTCCGTGGTAAGTTAAGCTGTCCTGAGTGGGAAGACATTTTAAAAAGTCAAATATGGGAGCTAAAAGAAACTGAAAATGACATTCTTCCGGCTTTAAGATTGAGTTATCATTATCTTCCTTCTTATTTGAAGCCATGTTTTGTCTATTGTGCATTGTTTCCTAAAGACCATGTGTTTGAGAAGAACCAGCTTGTTTTGTTGTGGATGGCAAGTGGGGTTTTACAGCAACAATCGGTAGAAGCTGGTTATAAGTATTTCAACGAGTTAGTTTCAAGAGCTTTTTTACAGCAATTTGGTGGGAATGAGTCACGGTTTGTGATGCATGATCTCATACATGATTTGGCTCAATTTGTAGCTGGAGAATCGTGCTTCAATCTTGAACATAAGTTTGAGGTTGATAAAAAATTAAAAGCGAATTATGAAAAGGTTCGTCATTTGTCTTGCATCCGTGGTATATATGACATCTCTAAGAAATTTGAAGTCTTGAAAGTCATGAAGTGTTTGCGAACATTCATTCCAATCGGTTCAAGGAGGTGGTGTTATCTATCAAATACAGTGGTGCATGATTGGCTCCCAAAACTAAGATGCTTGAGGGCATTGTCTCTTGAGGGTTATCGGATAAATAAGTTGCCAGATTCAATTGGAGATTTAATACATTTGAAGTACCTTAATTTGTCAGAAACTCTAATTGAAAGCCTACCTGAGTCAGTGGGTTTCCTCCTCCAATTACAAACACTGTTGCTCTTTAACTGCCACAATTTTTTGAAGCTACCTGTGGCAATTGGGAACTTAATTAACCTCCATCATTTGGATATTAGAGGTACATTTTTATTGAAAGATTTGCCATTGGGAATGAGTAATTTAAAAAATCTCTTAACATTGTCCAAATTTATTGTGGGGAAAGAAGATGGATTGATGAGATTATCTGATTTGAAAAACTTCTCGCAACTTGGAGGTAACCTGTCCATTTTGAATCTGCAGAATGTTTTGAATGTTGAAGATGCCATGGAGGCCAATCTAAAGAATATCAATGGTGTTGATGAGTTACTGTTAGAGTGGACTTCTGATTTTGGTGACTCAAGGAATGAAAGCAAGGAAGAAATGCCGGTCCTCAACTTGTTAAAACCTCATTCAAAATTAAAAAGTCTCACAATTGTTTCCTTTGGTGGCCAAAAATTCACTTCATGGATTGGTGATCCATTTTTTTCTAATTTATCATATTTGGAGCTTATAAATTGTAAAAGATGTACTTTGTTACCATCCCTTGGGTTATCGCCTGTTCTCAAAGAATTGATTATTGCAGGCATGGAGGCAATAGAAGCAGTGGGTCCAGAGTTTTATGGGAATGGAACTTTTTCGTCACTAAGGAAGCTGGTTTTTCGAGAGATGTTAAATTGGAAGGAATGGACTTCTCCAACTGGAAGTGGAGGTGAATTCCCTTGTCTTGGCCGTCTTGAGATTATAGATTGTCCAAAGTTGACAAGACAATTACCCAGCCACCTTTCCTCTTTAGTGAATCTTGTGATAAGTGGATGCCCTAATTTAAGATGCTCATCTACTTTGAGTCTTATGCCACTTAAAAAGCTTCATATTAGAGACTGCAATGTTATTCTTTTGAAGAGCATGGTTGATCTCACCTCTCTAACTCAATTGAGAATTGAGAATATTTCAGAGATGTCTTGCTTGCCTAAGTGTTTTACACAGTTCTTAACAACTCTTGAGAATCTCCAAATTACAGAGTGCAAAGAACTTACTTGTTTGTGGGAGGACGGATCAGAAAAAATAAACCTTACTCGCCTTGAGAAAATGGAAATTAGTAGTTGTCCTTTGCTTGTGTCGTTGACAGGGAAAGAACAAGGCCTCTTGCCATGGAGTCTTAAACATCTTTTCCTCTCTAGTTGTGAGGCACTGGAGTCATTATTACCTGATCTGATGATGAGGAAGATGGGCGGAAGCAACAGTAATAGCATCGACATGTTGAGACTTGAAGAGTTAGAACTTCGTGGTTGTCCTTCTCTCAGGTCATTATCCTTGCCCATCACAGTTAAGCGGTTGACAATAGAAGGATGTGAAAATCTTGAGTCTTTACTGGATGGAATACTGATGCAAGATGATGGTGACAACAACAGTAATCTTGAATATTTATATATAGAGAAACATCCACCTCTAAATTCTTTTCAGAGGGGTCAGCTACCAGCTTCTCTCAAGGAATTTAAAGTTGGGAATTGCAAGGGGTTGGAATCTATTTCAAAGGGAATGCTGCATCAATGTACAGGACTTAGATCCATTGAAATTCAGAATTGTCAAAGGTTGAAAGGCTTACCCGGCCTTGATTGCCTCAGCAATCTCATTGAATTACACATTAACTCTTGTGACGCTTTAGAGTCCATCCCAAATCTGGGCTTATGCATCCCCCATCTCAAGGTATTGGCAATACAGAGTTGTACGAATCTCAAGTCCTTCCCAAATACTACGATGTCCCAGTTGAAATCGCTTCAGGAGCTATACGTAAGGGGTTGTCCAAACATAGAGTTGATTCCGTCTCCAGGTGGGAATGAGAATGGGGGTTTACTTTTAGATTTACCCCCAAACTTAACAAGGGTTGGGTTAGACGATGCAATTCTGAAGTTCCTACTACCAAATACGACTCAAAAACTATACAATCCAGTTCCAGATGGGCATTTGGCAACGTGGGCGGGATGCGGCCTCCACAACCTTACCTCTCTTCAATACTTGTCAATTAGTTGTCGGACATGGCCGCCAGATATTGTGCTGCCTTCTTCTTTAACCAGTCTTTACATGGTCGCTGTTGAAAATCTGGAATCAATACCTATAGAGCTCCTCCAAAACCTAGACTCTCTTCAATGTTTGGGAATATGGAGGTGGCCGAAGCTACGATCCTTGCCAAAGGAAGGCTTGCCTCCCTCTCTTGGAATACTCAACATCTTTGACTGTCCGCTGCTAAAACGACAGCGCTTTGAGGCGAAAGGAGACCACTGGCCTCTCACCCATACCATCCCCTTCGTTGAGATAGATGGGGTTCAGGTAATAAAACCTACTGCTATGAAGCTGAAACTGGGTTATCATGTTTTCTGTTATGCTTTTCCTACTAAAAATTTTGATTTACTAGGTATATAAAGCAAAGGAAGGCTTGGTCAACTGCCTTTTCTTATCTTATATATATTATCTATTCTGTGCAGGTATTCCCATAGGATAGCACTGCAACCATTTCTTAATTACTTGACTCAAATCTTGAACAAATTCATCAACATCCTACAGGCTTAATTACTTCAGGTAGAGTTTTCACTTTCTTTAATTTCATGAATATTTACAGATGCAACTATACTCAATGTTACTCCCACATCGTTCTATTCTACTTAATTTTTTTGGATAATAAAGTTCATCTAAATAACAAGAGAACCATTTCATTATGAGGATATTCTGTACTACTACTTCATCTTCATAAAGCTAATTAAGCTTTTATTTTGCATTTGCATATTGCAAGAAATGGATTTTATTGGAGTTCTCTCATAAATTTCGCTTTCCATATCAGGAGAGTGCAACAAAATGAAGGGGGATGGCCTATTATAATTGGTAAGAAATCAACAATGAACAAGTTTTAGTTATCTTCTCTCTTATTTCATCCTTAAATCTCAATTATCAAATGTTTCTCTTTACAATAAGCTGGAGCTTCTGACCATAGAAAATCTTTAGAACTCATCTCACTCCCAATATCTCTATCATTCACATTTTTAAGCAATGTACTTGAATCCATCTATTCTTACAATATGGCAATGATACAACTACGGTATTCCTTTTTCATTCAGTTTTCTTAACAATGAACGTATTTGCAGAGTATGCTTCAAGATCAGATGTCTCGATGAATAAATGGTAGTGTACTTGGGATCCATCATGGTTGCAGTAACAAACTTCTACCCTTGAAAGGTGGTGCATCCCTCTTTTTAAGGCACTTCAATTTCCCTACTGTGCTTCACCTTCTCATCCCCACTGTTGTCAGAGAGATTTTCAATCAGTTCATCAAGAAAATGCTAAGCTTTAATTCACTTTTGTAGGACATGGATTTTCTTGGAGTTTTTCTGGCAATTTCTCTAGCCACATCAGGTACAATTTGAGGATATGTATGAAGGTGGATGGATAGAGTACTGCTTCAAGGTAGCGTTATGCTCAAATCATTAATCCTTTATTGGGCAAATTTTAAAAACTTAAGTTCAAGTTATTATAAATGCACTTATTTTGACTAAATAGAACTGCCATTTTACTTTCTTTCCCCCTTCATTCAGGATCAGTCTTTTGCATATCTGTCCATCACTTCGGTGTTGAGAAAAACACTTGATGGATGCATAATTGAACTGAAAGGGTGGTAGATGAAGACAAGCAGGGGAAAAAATTACTGGTTAGTGGCTGCTTTTGGGGATCATTCCAAAAATGAATTGACTTGCTAATTACTATGATGGTGATTCAAGAATTTATTTTTGACGATTTATTGTTGTTGAGAGTTTCCAGCCTTGCCTAGAGAGAGACTTTCTAATTAATCTTGACATACATTTCAATGGTGAAAGTTACACTTGCAGATTCAGATGTTTTGTGGTTGTTTTGTTTTCCACGTTAAAAATTTAATGTCTTGAGCTTAGTTTGCGAGTACCGTACTACAAATGTAACAGTAACTTTTTTTGTCTTTTAATATTTCCAAAAAATATAAAATATATTTAATTTATTTAATATTTATTTTAATTAACTTTTGTATATATTTTTAGAATAATAAAAACAATGAGAAACCCAGAGAATATTTTTTAGTTTGATTATTTGCTATTCAACTGCACACAGATGGTTAGTTGCTTGTTTTATTTATTTCCTATCCAATTGCATACAGGGAAAAGAATATCTTTGGCCAGCCTTCTCCTATCACATTAATATCCACACAGACCGGTTTTTGAAAGCTAGAAAAGCCCACATAAATCTTCATGATCTAGGCTCCAGCTTGAGTTATCATCATTAATACATAATTATTTGATTATAAGCATCCACCAAGGGAATAATCTCTGATTTCCTATAGTTGTTTGAAAAATAAGACATATAAAAGATTAAAATCATTAATACATTTATTTCAATAGAATACTGAATACTCTGAAGCCAAGAGGTCAGGCATGGTTTCAATCTAGAACAGCCAGACAGACTGGTCTTTCATTTCCAATCCTTCCAACCACGTCTATTGTACATGCATCCAGGTGAACCCATGCGAAGCATCACGTTCCTAGAATCCACAAATCAATCATCTCAGCAAATAATTTTCAGTAGTTGGTTTACATATTATAAAGTTATAACTTCTTTTTACCTTCACACTTATCTTTGCAGTTGTTTCACAACAGTACCGCTTTTCACCTACAAAAGTTAGCAAGTCAACTGAATGTACAAGAAGATCAGTGGACACAGCTCAGTGTCAGTGACAGTTTGAACAATAGTGGCATACAAATTCTGTAAACATGAGCTACCTTGTAACCAGTTGGCTAGTTATATTAGGAGTAACGACTCATATTTGAACTTGGAACTTCTCTTTTCTAAGAAATATGTGTAAAATGAATCACTTGGATGACAAGTTAAATCCTTAGGATTCTTGGCATGCAACGTCAATATGTCATCCAAGTTTTTTACTTTGAGAGGACAAAAGCTTAAAACAATGACTTGCTCTGGAGCAGCATTTAAAAAATCTGAAGAGTCTGCCATGGAGTGGTCTCTATAAATAAAATAAAAAGGAAAACAAGGAAGGGCTCAAAAGCAAATACATTCACATGCAAATTCATAATAAATGCAGTTACTGTCATATATCTAAGTTGATAATCTGATAAACTGGAGAGACAGGCAGATACTCCCATATCCACAAAGAGACGAACGCTAAAAAGGTGCATAAATAAATGCAGATATGACATTTCGTTTAATTTAAAAAGAAGCTGAATATAAAGAAATCTCACCACTTTGCTCCCACTTGTCGAAATTCACCAGATGAGACACTCCCTTGGTATGGTGGCGACTTTAGCCTAATAAATCAGAATGAAATTATGTAATTGAAATGGGTCTTCCTTCACCTTTCCAGTATGGTTCAATTCGACCCCAAATCTTTTGACTGAGACTACTAAATCTCTATAGTATACTCTCAAACTTCGAAAATCAGAAGATAACTTGATCATTTTCATTACAAATTCACAATCGCGTTTCAAATTTTGATCACACAAATTTTCTTGATGAATGAAAAAAATTCAAAATTGAGATAATACAGAGAATCGACATTAAAATTGAATACACATGAAAACGACAAA